TGTAAATCCAGGTAGGGTCCATGCAGGTAGCAAAAGTACTGTAAGTCCCCATGGTCCTTAGCATGGTGATCTATCTTCAGTTGCTGGCAACCTTTTATGTTCTAATGTTCTGTTTAATAGTAGCATTTAATGAAAGCAAGCTAGTTTTTACTTTAATATCTGTGATATACTAGTAGGTTTACTATTCTTCGACAACAGACTTTTAATTTCAAATTGTATTGATCTATAATATAACAATAAATTGTTCCCGTCACATATGCCTGAAATATTGCCGATGTGGCGATAAATGTTAACTCACTCACTCTAAACTGTTGTTAACCGTTACTAACGGCTGTTTGAGAGAGGAATATTTGAAACGTATGTGAGTGAGTAGGTGAATTAGGGTGTCAATATGAGCAATATGGAGAGTGACGTTCTATGGTGCTTTTAGAAGCATTCCAATATCATGATCGGGAAACTGATGAATGGAGATTGAACATTATTTAAGCTACAGCATCGCAAGGATATTTAAATTGTGTCAGCCGAAGTAGTTGAAAACCGAACCTTGAAACACAGTTTTTTGAAAAGACGTTTTTCTTAACTGAAGATAAACAATAAGTAATAGACTATTTTATATTGTAATAGCCGCTCCCAAAAGAAAGGATGTTTTTTTCTAATTCGGAGGGTCCCGACATGTGATCAGCTTTTTCTGAATACATCTTCAGTATAACACTGTTCATGATCATTGTGTGCAATGTTTTTAATAAAGAGCTTCGTTTAATGACACTTTAATAATTTTGTTATAGATATCTCATCATCAATTAAAAATATAGTGCCTTAAAATCCATGAACAGGTACGTGAAACAAGATACATAAGTCTTCAGATAGCGTATATACATTTCTGCTAATGTATTCATTCATGCTGTTAGAAATTTGAGAAAGTAATAAATTCGTCTTCCATCATTACCTTTGTTACAGATAGAGAAGAAATAGCAAAATTCTTTCGTCCCTGATCCGCTTGACAAGTAATATACCTGAGGAGCATTTATTAATGTTTATGCAGCCTTACACACGGAGGCGAGGATATGGTGAGGTCTGTTATGTGGACCCTCCCTACTGCTGACATGATCACAAATGTACGTGAGCAATATATTCCTACAGAGACCAGGGTGTCCACATCACTCTGAGATCAATAATCAGACAATCTTAGCTATCGTGCCAAATAGTGAGACACTTCGCGATACACACTTGTATAAGACATGGTGACTTAAAATGTTCAAAGACTAGAACTGACCAGGTATATGTTTCACCGTTCCATTTCACAACCAGTATGTGCTTCAGTGTTTGTGGATGCTGCTAAAAGTCATTCAGAGAAATGTGACACACTCACACTTTATCACTTAATTTTAACCCAATGTGTGATATATTCGGCTTACCCAAGAGATAGATTATATGTTTGCATATATTATTCGGCAACACATTCCCTTGTGTTTCAAATGGTTTCATATAAATGTGCTTTGTGAGTCACTGGAGTTTATTTTTACGCCGCGCTCAGCAATATTCCAGCAATATGGCCTACGGTCAGTAAATAATCGAGTCTGGACCAGACAATCCAGTGATCAACAGCTTGGGCATTGATCTACGCAATTGGGATACGATGACATGTGTCAACCAAGTCAGCGAGCATGACCACTCGATCCCGTCAGCATGGGTTAATGAAGATCAATTCTTACCCGGATCTTCACGGATATGTATTCAATGTGTCAACAGTCATGGGGATAAATAATATCAGACCATCTGAACTGCTTCTATGTTTTATTGCACAATTAGTATGCGCTGTTTTGGCCCTGGATGATGCATGTGGTCAAACATGATGGTCATCTACTTCCTGGCAGCAACACAGGTGCTACCACTGATTTCGTAGGCGGACGCTGCGGCCTGAACGGCACCCCTGCAATGTGAAGGTCCATCGTCAGACAGGAATCAGGAATTATTACTTATGCATTTCCTTCAATTGGGAGTTCCATTAATCAGGATTAATCAGCCCCTACCCTTTGTCCAAATGGCTTCATACTATTATATATCATCACAAAACTATAAGTAATGTCACCACACTGTACATCAACCTCATTAACTGTATAAACTCTAATATCCTTCATGTATATATTCTGCTTGTTCATACTGTCGAATATCACTTGCTTGATAACGGAGTTAGCATCTACACTGAACCGTCGTATCAAACAGATACATGTTGATGACATATTGTTTACGTTCGTTATTTCTTACAAAGAGCGGCTTTTCAGTGACAGTCGAGAACATGGACATTATATTGAACGTTTTTACCATAATCACACAGAAGATAAAGACCTACGAGTGATGTTATCACTTTTCATATAAACGTTGACAAGATGCAACACGAACGTTTTTAACCGTTGTATCAGTCTTCTGAGGAATTAGCAGCTGTTTCTATGCGGGCGATAAATCACTATTTTCTAATCTGTTGTATCAGGGGTGAACTATACTTTGATTGAGTGAGTGAGTGAGTGAGTGAGTGAGTGAGTATGGTTTAACGCCGCTTTTGGCAGTATTCCATCAACATCACGGCGGGGGACACCAGAAATGGGCTTCACACATTGTACCCATGTGAAGAATCGAACCCGGGCCTTCGGTGTGACGAGCTAACGCTTTAACCACTAGGCTACCCCACCGCCCCTACTTTGATTTGAGACCCTTTGAGACGGATCTCTGTGAGAATGTTTTATGGATATACTTACTCAACGCAGTTCAAACTGCAGGGACTGTCGTAGTAGTTGCCGGCGGTGTCACACACTGGTTCCAAGCTGAGGGGACAAATACACTCACAGTTGACAGTGCTGGCTGTGGATCGAGATGGGAACAGAAAAATGAAGCTATAATGATACATGTCCCTCAATAAACACTATTTGTTTGCGATCATGAATACTTTTTACATGGAACCCCTTGGCCGACACTTTGATATTTTGTCAAGATGAATTTTGGCTACCAAATTTACAACGAAAGCTTTGTAGCTTCATTAGGGTGTTGTCGACACTTTCTGAAACCAACATCCACGGGTGTACTGTGATGGTGACAAGATAAGGATCGCTATCAAGCCGAATCTGGTATTTACAAAAGTATCAGAGGAAAATGCACCACTGCTTCTGAATATACATCTGAGTGTACTGATGAAACCGGTATAAAACTCACCGCATAGCACCACAGCAAGAACAGCAAGAATAACAGCAGCCTTCATTTTGATGCTTCTTTTCCAAACAGGATCAAAGTATCGAATGGATTTGCAATTCTAGTATTTATACAGTACACAAACCTCATGAAATACAATTTCAAGTAATATATAGCTCTCAGTCGATTTAAAACTCTATTTTATATCCCACAAATCATAAGTGTTTGCTTCAAGGAGGTTGCTGTGAGCAGTTAATGTTTCTTTGCCATGTAGAATCAACTTCACATCCACATAAAATACATGTAAACTCTTGATCAGCATATTTTAACATTTCTTGTCGCAGTAACAAGGAGCTTTGTTTGAGTTGCAGGTGTTTTTGAACATAACGCCCAATTTTACATATTAAAACTTCAGGGTTTGGAACATTCAATAACACCAGTCACACTGAAATGTGATGACGTTACCCTGGACTACTTTGACGCCTGTTACATCTGAACATGGTTTGCTGATTATTGGAAAAAATTAAAATCATTCTGAAAAATATTTGATGTACGTGATAATTAATGAATGTGGTATCCCTTTCGCTGAATGGCATGATTAGTTTGTTTACCATATAAGTCAGCCAGTCAGATGGTTGGCTTTGCGAACAGGTGCGTGTCATGTCAAAATTGACCATATTCACACTTACCATACGAAACCCGCTGGCGGTCGTAAGGATGCCCTCATATTGCCACTCAAACATATTTCACAGAAAATAAGCCTTATGATGTAACTACACGTAACTAAAACATCAACAAGCCAGTACAGTTTTATGCCACTTTTATCAATATTGCAGGTTTATCAAGACGTTGGACAACAGATATGGCCTTCATATATTGTTCCCATGCGTGGAAGTAAACACTTTAGCCACTAGGCTAATGTACAGCCCGAATACATAATGGGACATTAATTACAAAATGAGGGAGAAAAAAATATTTAAACGACAAGGGAAAGTTATGTCCATTGTTCTTGGAACTGTTTTATTAGCATAACTGAATAACTACCCTAGGGCAATTATTTCTATTTAAAAACAATGAAAGTGTACTTATTTTGATAATCTTCATCATGCCTAATATATTACACGCGTATTAAATAAGTATGCCCTCGTGGTGTAAAGACCCGTGAAGATCCGGGGTAGAATAGGTCTTCAGCAACTCATGCTTGCCACAAAAGGGGACTATGCTTGTCGTAAGAGGCGACTAACGGGATCGGGTGGTCAGGCTCGCTGACTTGGAAGACACATGTCATCGGTTCCCAGTTGGGCGGATCCATGCTCATGCTGTTGATCACTGGATTGTCTGGTTCAGACTCGATTATTTAAAGACCGCCGTCATATAGCTGGAATATTGCCGAGTGCAGCTTAAAACTAAACTCACTCACTCACACCTGGTGTAAGCCGTTTAGTCACCCTCACTACGGTAGTTATTTAAATAACCACCTTGTAAGGCTGATAAACCTATACATACCAAGGTTGTTTTTCATATAAGAGAAAAAAACTGATTTTAGTGACGGGTAATGACAGATACTACATAAAATACTCACAACAATCTGGTGCCTAGCACATAGGATTTTAACAAGGCATAAAATCAGAACTTACACAATTTACAACTAACATAAATACAAATTTAAACTACTGAGGAGACACATATGCTACTTCAAATATTTAATATGGGCTTGTGTAGTGTATAAATACCGTCATTTCAATCCAGTCGATACTTTGATTCTGTTTGGAAGAGAAGCTCCACTTCAAGCATCAAGATGAAGGCTGCTGTTGTTCTGGCTGTTCTTGCTGCGCTGCTGTGTGGTGAGTACAATCATTGTTTTATGTACAAGTCGATGTGAATTTTCAAAGGGGTCATATGTGCTTAGTGGAACCAGTTATGTTCGATCATACAGTGCTGCCAAAGTGTGTCTTTATCAAAATCTGTACTGTTCTGGAACGTTTAATGCACAGGGATTTCCGAAAACGAAATGATGTTTCAATCTCAGTCATAAATTAGCTCAGCAGAGCTTCATCCCAACCTCAGGGCGTTGTTTTGTCAGTTTTATCAAATTATAGGTACAAGTCGCTGTGAATTTTCTAAGGGGTGATATTTGGTTGGTACAACCAGGCATGTTCGATCATAGGCCGTTTGGTTCACTACAATGGTACAATGTGTGAAGTCTATTTCTGGTGTCCCTGCCGTGATATTGCTGGAACATTGCTAAAAGAGGCGTAAAACCATACTCACTCACTCGATCATTTGCCAGTAACAGTTCTGCCAAGAGTGCCTTGAGCAAAGGTTGTAATGTCTTGTAACGTATAATGCACAGCAATTACCAACACGAAATGAGGTGAGCGGAGCGGAGCTGCATCCCAGCCTTAGGGGTTTCCTACCAGCGGCATATCCTGCTCGCTCGTGGTCGTCCTTACACAAAACAGTCGGTATACCAGGCTGACTGTACAAATGTAAGCAAGGAGATTATCAACTCTGGCTATAAGTGACATATAAAAAATGACACAATTGATGGCTGTGAAATGTGGATAACAGCATGTGAAACAGACTCGATGACCTTAGTGATATTTGACTTCATGTTGCAGAAAAGGCAGTCAGTCATGAAACTATAATGCACAAATATTTATACGTTTTCGGGACAGAGTGATCTGTGATATTTGTCACCCTTTCAGGAATGTCATATCCTCCTGTTGCCAATGACAGAATGATCTGTGATATTTGTTACCCTCTCGAGAAAGACATTATGATATATACTTCGAACCTACAGGGTTCTGACGTGCCCAGTCGACGCAACTTTGCGGACGAGTGGAAACCTCTCGAACTCCAGCAATTTTGAAAACGTTGTCCCTCCAAAATGGTCATTTAAAGGATCAGTCAAGGTTTAACGTGTGGAAAATGTTTATTGTTGAGCTCATTGAGTTACCAGTATAATGTTTTTACCTTCATCTTTCTTCACAGCCAGCACTGTCAACTGTGAGTGCGCGTGTACCCGCATCCTTGACCCCGTCTGTGACACCGCCGGCAACTACTACGACAATTCGTGCCTGTTGAACTGTGTTGAGTAAGTATGTCCATGAAATAGTCTGACAGAAATCAGCCTGAAACCCTAGCGGAAAGAGAATTATGTAAAATAACGTTGATTTAATGAAACCGCAGCAATGTATTCGTATACAGAGTAATGATGAAAATGTAAAGTGATAACAACACACGTAGTTCGTATGTATTTTTGTTGTGAATAACATACACAGCATAATAATTGTGAACTGGAGAGCACTGAAATGTACGTCTATGGTACCCTGTGAAGCTGGGTAGTTCAGTGGTTAAAGCGGTGTAAAACCCAACTCACTCACTCACCTTCTCTGGAGATCTAATATTTACGATAGATAACATGAAACGACTGAACTTTTATCAGATCGTATCTCACTCACTTACTCCCTCACACACACTCTCTCTCACACACACACGCACGCTCGGACGCGCGCACACACACAGAGTACTGAAATGTACGTTTATGTCTCCTGTCAAGAAACATGCGTTTGTGATTTCAATGAAAAGACTGAGAATTGAAGAAGCAAGTATCGTGGCTGGAGATCTAATCATCATGTAGTTTACATTGATTTTAGATCTAATGATATAGATAGATTATGTGAAACGATTGGACCTTTATCAGTCCTTATTAAACACACACACACACACACACACACACACACACACACACACACACACACACTGTGTCATGAAACTAAATCAAAGGAAATGCACCACTGATAATTCCTCATCCACGATTGCACCTTCACATTGCAGGGGTGCCGTCCAGGCCGCGGAGGGCGCCTACACTGTCAGTGGAACCTCCTGTGTTGCTGCTAGGAAGTAGATGACCTTCACCTTTGACGACATGGAACGTCTCCGAATAAAGAAGCACATATTGCCTGTGCAATAAAATATAGAAGCAATCTATGTTGTCATGGCTACTTTGTCCGATATCAGTAACTGATAACTTTCGACAAGGTTTAATACATAGAGATTACTACACGAGGTCTCATTACATACGAATTATACGAAACTCGTGACCTTCAGAAACCATAGGAAGGTCACGAGTTTCGTATAATTCGTATGTAATGAGACCGAGTGTGGTATTTTATTTATTACCCACGTCTTACATGCATTGAATTGACAAAATAGCGTATTTTTGTTATTGTACTGGTTTCAAACCGAAACCGGTTTTATAAAGAGGTTGCGGAAGAATTTTGTTCTGAAGTACACTTTTGCATGACGTCACATTGTATTGACGTCACTACGCCATTCTCGTCTGTCCCCTTGGTAACCGACGTCACGATGCATGTCAGTTGTCATCGCCTCTCGTACAGCCTCCTACAGTAAACTACTCAGTAGCACCCCGTTTCTTGGTTTGCAACTGCTTCACTCGAGTAACATCACTGGTGGAAACATTGCGTTTATGTTTTTCAACGGATATAATGTCTCAGTTCGGCTCACGATTAAACAGCGACACGGCAACGTTCGCAATGTTTACATTCCCACAATGCATCTAAGTTGTAGAATGAATGAATTCACGTGTTTGTTATGAATGAACAAGTAGTTCCGTCACAACGTGACCTAATTGAGAGGTCATCGGTTATCCAATCAAATCGTTAGAATCTCAGGTGAAGTCGTTACGACACAGGTCAACGCGATACGACACTCGTGTGACGTACGGGATTAGTATGCAACTACCCATACGTTGACCACGTGGGTAATAAAAAACATGATTTTTTCAACTTGCTGATGCATATTATGAGTCAGTGAGTGAGTTAAGATTTAAAGTCATAGAGTGAGCGAGTGAGTGAGTGAGAACCCGGGTCTTCTGCGTGACGAGCGAATGCTTTAACCGCTAGGCTACCCCACCGCCCAGGTTATGAGAGACTGACTGAGGTTAGTTTTACGCCGCTTTTAGCAATATTCCAGCAATATCACGGCGGGGGACACCAGGAATGGGCTTCACACATTGTGCCCATGTGGGGAATCGAACCCGGGTCTTCGGCGTCGTCAGTGAACATAGCAGCAGTTATGGTACAAACAGCAATGGCAGGTGTAGTGAAATACTCACGAGGGCCTGTAAATATTCAAGTCTGGGACAGGCACACCGTAGTACTCTGAGTGGGTGAGTGAGTGAATTTAGTTTCACGCCGCTTTCAGCAATATTCCAGCTATATTACGGGACAGCAGAAATGGGCTTCAAGCATTGTACCCATGTGTGGAATCGAAATCGGGTCTTCGGCATGACGAGCGAAAGCTTTAACCACTGGGCTACCCCACCACCCGTAGTAGTCTGAAGTATTTGCGACAACGACTTTTGAAAGGACACTGCTCGTTATTGTAATCTTCTTCTTAATCCATGAATAAGAATGAAGCAGTTAACTGAAGCTGCCTCCCTCGACGCTGAAGGGCCCGACTGTGTCCTTTCAGCTCCCCTGCAAGGTAAACTTGCATGACGAGAAAGACTTAAGAATGGATCATGTGACATCCTGGGGATACGATACCCTGTGCTATGCGTTAATTGAAAGCGAGAAAAGCCACACAAAGCTCTGCTTAAAGAACGTGGAATACACAATTATGGTCATGAGTGTGCGTTTATGATTCACCCTTAAAAAACTATAATGATACCAGGTGTTTGCAAAAAGGTGAGTGAGTGAGTATGATTTTACGCCGATTTTAGCAATATTCCAGCAATATTACGGCAGGGGACAACAGAAATGGGCTTCCTGTGGGGAATCGAATCCGGGTCTTCAGCGTGACCACCGGACGCTCCATCAATCTACCCCACCGCCCCGCAAAAAGGTGGACAACACTGGAACACATGGCACATCAGACACGAATATTGACACCGATGCCTTAAAGTTAGAAAGTTCGTCCACAAGTTTAACATTAAACGTTTTGAAATCTTTGAGGCCTTGTATGTTGTAAAATTGATGAAAGAACATAAAGGACTAATCGTATCATACTCTTTGAAATCAAATTGATGTAGATAATTGACATAAACTTTACTTGAAAACTACATATCAATAGAAACGTGTATGGCAATTCCTTCAAGATAAGACAGGTTTAATCTCCGAATAACCTGTGAAGATCCGGGTTAGATTTGATCTTCAGTAACCCGTGCTTACTAAGAGGCGAATAACGGGATCGGGTGGTCAGGCTCGCTGACTTGGTTGACACATGTCATCGTATCCTAATTATGTGGATCGATGCTCATGCCGTCGATCACTGGATTGTTTGGTCCAGACTCGATTATTTACAGACCGCCACCATAGACCTGGAGTGAGTTAGTGAGTTAAGATTTTATACATCGGCAATATTTCAGCCATATCGTGACTGTAAAACAAGTTATTATTTCATGCTAGATAAAGGTAAACTATAAAACCCTGTCAACGAATGACAGTAAAATAACTTAGTCTAGTTTATCACAGATTTCTATATAGCTGGAATATTGCTGGTGCGGCGTAAAACTAAACTCACTCACTCACCCATTGCTGTAGTAGTTTCCGGCGGGGTCCCGTGTCTGTGGACATACACACTCATTGTTGATGGAGGTGGCTGAGACAAAAGGCTAACCGATTCAATTTCAAGATAATGCGTAATCTTCTTAGTAATTACCGAGGACATGCGCGACACGTACATTGTAGGTATTGAGATGTAAGTCATTGTTTAGTAGACTGCAGGCAGGTTTAAGTCTGCCGACAGTGTTACCCTACGAATCCTCTCATGCATATACCGTACTGAATCAGGTTACCAGTTCACATGCTGCAGTTTAGATAAAGATCTGAACTGCATTGAGAATGCATGTTAAGTAATAACCACTTCACTCGTTTCACTGTCTCAGTATCGCAGTTCTGGATTTCGAACATTTTACAGCATAACAAGGAGCCATTACCTCGATGGCAAGTTGATACCATAGCTCGCCAGTCACTATATAACTGTTAACAGTTAATATTGTCGTAACTGGTGTTTGGGTTTCAGTAAACCCTACCACAGTTACCTACTATAGTCCGTCAACTGAACTTTTGCACCCTGTTTTCACAATTTACCTTTTAACCAAAATGCCTACAAAATGTGTTTAGGCATACGCTCTTTGTATCTTATGACCTATGAAAGGTTTAAATTTCATAATTTTATGTCAATTATTAAAGCTTCTTCTTAAGAAGCCATCTTATAAAAATATGAAATCTTGGTGGCATTACGTGTCTTTTGGAGAAACACTCAATTGAAAAAGAGGGTTTTTTAGCGCTTGCCTTGCGCTTGAAAAAGTTGTAAACTCTTTTGATGATTTACCGGTCATCTTTGTACAACATCGTTTTTACCACAACCTGTGTGTTGACGATCTTTGACATGCATGTACATATCACGCTGACACACATTTTACAACGTTGTTGGCTTTTCCATCACGTGCGTTAACCCCTCGTAAAACTCTCCACAGTTTTACAATTATTATATGACAGGTTTAAAGGAAAAATCTTTAATAATCGTTTTAGAATTACTAAAATCGATATCTTGTTTGGCCACAGTATACAATTACCATATAAACAGAGAAGCGTTTTAAAATATTCAGGAGTTTTGTGTAAATTGTGAAAAACTGGGTGCCAAAAGAAAAGTTGACGGACTATAATTATGATTGTTCACATTGTCAGGTGAGATGAAAGCTCCAGCTCTGCACTCGCCTGGTCCATGGGAAATGTTAAGTCAAGGGGTGAGGGGTCGTGACTCCTAACTAACTACATTACATTCATGTACTGGCATACATACATTCAAGGATAAACGCAACACCAAGTTCTATACTCACATGGGTTTACTGTCTCTCAGTCCATCTCTCTCTAAGTACAACTCCAATACAAGACAGAACAGGCTCGTACCACACGGGGAACTGAGTAACGTGGGTTGGCTTCCGAAATGTTGAGCTAGTACTCTTCGCACTCTGAGCTCTTAGCGCCCAAACATGTCTTTTTAAATGAGACGAGCCTGACCTGATCTTGAACACATATTTCAACATATCGTTTTGATTAATTAATAACTATATCTGTCCTTTCACTCATGTGTATTATAATTAGAAGGGTCTCGGGCAGCACCGTTCAGTGACTCCCTTTTCAGTGATTGGATACTTCCGTCTACTTCCCTGTTCTAAGTCAATGAACTCATTGGCACACAGTTAACCAATAAAGTAAATCTTAACATGCACTGGCTCATTCCCCCATTAATACGATTAAGACTTTGAAAGTCTTAATGCAGATGAACTACAATCATCAAATGTTTTCTCAGGTTTATAATATCCCATGTGATAGGTCTTTGACGTTCAGAATTCAACTTGGCTGATGCAAACATAATATACTTCTCACAAAAAAATAAGCAACAATTATTTCCAGTGCAATATCTTTATCAATCTCGATAGCGATTTTTGCCGATATGTTACTGAAAGGTAAATATTCAAAGAATACGTACATAACCTTTAGTGACTGTCAAATTGATTTATCTGATAACATCACCCGAACACAACTACCCTCTGAAACAACATACAAAATGTGTGGCATGAATGTGCTCCACTCTTCACACGTTCACCCGGATCGGTGTAAACCAACCGGTAACCATTCCTCTGGCACAACAAGCAGGTCCTAACTTCATTTTTATGGATGATAATGCCCGAGAAAGAGTTGTTAACGATGTGCAGATCAACAACATCACACATATGGACTGGCCTGCAATGTCACTTAATCTTAATCCCATTGAAGACGCTTGGGGCATTATTGGAAGTCATGTTTAGGGTCTCCATGTTCACCCCCAGACTCTGGATGACCTTGCGTTTAGTGAAGTCCGTTTGGTTGTTGGCGAGAATGGTGATGTCGGACCACTCTATTTGATGATTGGGGTTAGCTTTGATGTGGTCAGAGATAGCTGATTTGGTGTCGGA